AATGTCACAACCAAACGTCCATCGCACTTTGAAGCACTATCAATGGAAAAGTTAATTTCAAGTATGATCCCATGAAGATGGTCCTGACCAAATAGTGGGGTTTTGGGAATGGTACTTGACACGATGTTTAGAAAGTAAACACACTTTCCAACAAAAATTGTTTGAAGTGATGAGGCCACATATAGATTAAATAGCTCAAATAACTGTCACAATTGCACTTACTGAGAACCTGGTAATCCGCCATTTTATCGAGGAATATCATTTTAATTTATCAGAGAATCTATTAAATTTTGAAAATGAAATTTATTTTAATAAACACTGACTTTATAATCATTAAAAGTATATATACATATTTTCCCGGACAATCTGTATGTGATTTTTTAAAATCATTTCAACTCCAAGAAAGATGATCATGCCACTAAGACGCAAGGTGTTACTGAGATTGAAAAAAAAAGAAATGAGAAAGCTTTAGAAGGTACGGGGAAAAAAAAGCAAACATCTGTTCCTATTCAAAAGATGTGAACCAGACCTAGGAGATTGTTTACGAAGACACTGCAGACTACTGTACTTATCCTTAATTCATAAGACTGTAGGAGTAATGTGTTGGTGATAGAAAAAGTTTTATCTACCATTAAATACGTGATAAATGTCGAAGTAAACAAGTTACAACAAATAAAACTGAACGGCAAATGAAAAGCAGTAATAGATTATTAGACTAACGCCTTTTAAGTTAAGAGTTCAAACATTTGGAATGCTATTTATTCCGATATTCATCTCGGCGAATGCCGAGTGGCGCGGTCGGAATAGTAGAAATATGTATTAAGCGAAACAATCGTAGTGATGAAAGGAAAAAGACATTGGTGTGAATTTCCATATAGTTTATAGAATGACAAAGAAAGAGTATGAAAATACACTTCCGGAATAGACAACTTGAGAGAAGTTAAGCGTAGGCATTTCTCCAAACTTTAATCAATCAGTCAGTTATATGGCATGCGTCATACACGCTTAGGTGATCATACATGACTGACGAGGCAGATTTTTTTCCCATCAGTAGGTTGCCATTTCTTTCTAACCAAATAGTGGGGTTTTGGGAATGGTACTTGAGAACCTGGTAATCCGCCATTTATCAGAGAATCTATTAATTTTGAAAATGAAATTTAATTTAACAAACACTGATTTATAAATTAATCTATTAGTGAATTTTTTGTAACAAGAACTCATTACCGCCGTCGTGAGTGACAAGAGTTGAAATAGTCACATGACATTGGATGGAGCGATAATACTTGAAATTGTCTACTAATCATGGCATCTGATCAGAGAGAAGTCAAACACCAGATTGACGGGAGAAAAGTTGAACACTAATTATTGGGTTGAATTATAAATAATTTCTGTTTTTATTATTTTATTTTTATTATAAAAAATAAAGTAAAAATAAAGAAACACGATACATAAGTTTTAAATGAATTTTTGGAAATGAAAAATCTTTTTTGATGCTTTTGTTTTAGTTTTAATTTCAAGCTAATAAATTAAATTTAGTACTTCCAATAAGCAAAACACTTTGCTCTATTTCAAAACGAATATAAATTCATTGGAATGATTTTTTAAATCGTTAAAAATCGCTGTTTTTAGCCATATTTATAATATGAGAAAATTGTAAATAATGCTAAAATCAACGTAATTCTCTTTATTAAAAATCTTTAAAAAATAAAATGTACTTTTCTGAAACTTTATTAAAGGAGATTAGTTGATTTAAAGTATAATAAATCTGATTTTAAACAAATATTACTTTTAGTTTATAATATCGCTGAACGGCACAGAGGTGCGTGTTTTTATGGGGTGTTGACCGCTCTATTGGCAGTCTGATCTTTGGGAAATTTAACTAATTTTTCCTGCGGGAGAGATATCCGTAAAAATACTTGAATATAAGGTAAGCGACTTTTTTATATCATTTTTTGAAACTGCCCAGTAATCATAAAAATTTAGGAAAATATTAAATGTAGTTTTTATTTAATAAAAATATCACCTAACCGCTACAAATTAGTACAGAATTTTTAGATTTAAAACTTTATAAATTATTCTAACTGAAATTTTTAAAAAGTGAAAAAGTGTACAAATCCATCATTCATCGAATTTGTTTTTTTTTTTTTTTAAGTCCATTATATATCTTATTCTTAAAAACAATTAAAAGCTTTTCTAATTAAATAATGTCTTAGTTTTATTGCATTTTTTTTTTATTTTAAGAGTCAGAGCAGATTTTCGCTAATTGGGAATCTTATTATTAAAAAAAAAATCATCTAATTTCTCCATAGGCTTCTGCTTATAAGAACTATTTTTTACCAAGGTTTTTTTTTTTATTTTTTAAAAAAAGAAAGAAAGGTTTCTAAAATAATTTGATTCATTTGTGAATAAGTCCTGAAAATCTTATTAAAATCTGACAATTATTTGATTTTTGCAAGAATTTCCAAATCAATGACTTTTTCACTGCAAAAAGGCACTAAAATTAGTGTAGATAATTTTTAATAACCCGGTAAAGTAAGAAAAAGAAAAAGAAAAAAGAATTAACCAAAACTTTGAAGACTCTAAAAAAGATAAAAATATAGTTTAACAATTAAAATAATCCTTTGGTTTTTCCTTTTAATAACAAAGATTATGACAATAAAACTTTGTTATTATTAAGTTTGTGGCACTCGCAACTATGATTTAAATAGCAGTGTAGACTGTACCTCTTTAGCCTTAGGCGGCAACCATTCTAGGAGAAGGAAAACACTGAATTCAAAACCAGCCTAAAGAGGGAAGTGCTCTCCAAAACTATCTTGCCCGAGACCCTCCCATTGTTGCAATGGGTGCAGTGCAGGTGGTGAACCTATGGCCGTAATGGGTTATAGGACTTATGCTATGACCGTATCTCTCTCTCTCTCTCTCTCTCTCTCACACACACATACATACATACATACATACATACATACATACATATATCCATATACAAATTCACCCACCTCCAAACAAGGCAATAAAGCCATTGAGACGCAAAGGATTGCTGAGTGTGAAAGAATGAGATAAAGAAAACATAAGGAGAGAGAACTATAAGAAAACAGAAGATAGGGATTGACATTGCAGTTAAATATTTGAAGATTAAAGTTGACTGGAAACCAAGAAACCGGAAGAGTGCGAGAGAAAAATATTCTTTGCTAACTTGAAAGAGCATTTAAAAATAAATAGCATACAAAAATAACTATCTTCAGAATTTGTTTTACTAAGGTGGAAAAACGAGAACTGATATTAACAAGATAGGGCCATACACAAGAGGATAAAAACAAAGATGACCTACTTTTGTTGTATATTAAAGTTGATATCTAAAAGTTCTAAAAGTTCTAATCTGATTAAAAGTGGAAATTGTCTACAACGCATATATATATATATATATATATATATATATATATATATATATATATATATATATATATATAAAAGTATACAAAAACATGTTTCTGTGTGAACGTTGTTGAACAATATGGAACCAATGGGATTTATATGGAACAACATTCACACCGTTAAAAACTTTTTGCATGTCAATATTTATTCGCGTTAACTGTGTGAGCGGGCATGGTAGTATACTGATAAAGTTATATATATATATATATATATATATATATATATATATATATATATATATATATATATATATATATATATATATATATATATATATATATATATATATTTTTGGTATAAAGGCTTGTAATTTTTTTACAGGTTTACATTTTCTGTGAAGGGAACAAAAGGAGAAAGAACGAATCTGAAGTGATTTATGATGAAAAACTAAATCTCTGTAATATGGAAATCATTAATTAATATTTAGATCTTTTTATGAAGAATTGTAGATATGGACTAAGCCGATACGGGGAGTATGTCACAGTTACTGGCACGAACTGTAGAATGGGTAAACTGGATTTGTATTCTCATCGCTCTAATGTCATTTTGAATGACATTTTTTTTAAGCGTTTCACCCTAAGCAAGGCGAGAAGCCACTAGGATGCAAGGGGTTACAGAAAATTTAGAGCAAGATCAGATAGGAGTGATAGAAGAAAGGATGAGGAGAAGGGTAGTGGATAGATCAAGGCAACTGGAGATGTCGATTGACATTACACTTGAATAGCTGGAGATTATAGCTCACAGGTAAACAGGAATAGGGAAGGGAGTTCCACAGGCGAGAGGTGCGAGACACGAAGCTATTGGAGTGGAAGAGACGGCTACATTTAGAAGTTTCGACAGTGAAAGGGTAAGAGCGGGATGCCAGCCTCGTAGGGCGCTTGAATTCATCACGTCTGGGAACCAGCGAATGCAGCTCCTCGGAACAATTTCCATTTGTAGAACAGACAGAGGGAGGGAGGCGACGGCGCGTCTGTGAGAAAGTGACTGTAGACGAGACGCCAGAGCATGGCCAATTACATTGCATATCCGCCTATGGAACCCCGAGGCAAACAGAAGGGGCACCAGACCATATATGGCAGCAATACTCCATGCAAGGGCGAATTGTTGATTTGTAGATCTGGAAACACTCTCTCCCCCAATTAAGGATAAATAACAGCACAGAGTCGATTTACAGTCTAAGAAATAGACAACATTAATTCCTTGCTGTCAAAGGGCGGCCGTTTATGATCCCTTATCGTAAACGACTTTGGTGGACGAAAAAGCGAGAGCGTCTCTCTAGCACGACTCTACAATTTCAAAGAAACGAAAACAAAAAAGAAAAAAAAACATTCGCGATTAGGTTTCTGCACAAATCTATACAAAACGTCTATTGGCCTCATTCTTCAAACAAGACGCGATCCTCTTTTACTGTCAAAAGAAATAAAAAAAAAAAACTATAATGGTGGGGTACCGACTGAAGATCGAACTTACTCGTACTGATTTACTATTAACCATTATTCTACAGCGTGCCTCACGGAATTATAATGTCTATATAATTTTATTTTGTCTACAATATCAAGAAGACCGGTTTACGGCCACATCACGTCGAAACACCGGTTCCCGTACGATCACCGAAGTTAAGCAACGTCGATCCTGGTCAGTACCTAGATGAGTGACCGCTTGAGAATACAATGTGCTGTAAGCTTGATGTGTCTTTTGTACGGCTTATAGCCATATCACGATGAAACACCGGTTCCCGTACGACCACCGATGTTAAGCAACGTCGAGACTGGTCAGTACCTAGATGAGTGACCGCTTAAGAATACAATGTGCTGTAAGCTTGGATGTGCGGGTTTTACGGCTTATAGCCATATCACGTTGAAACACCGGTTCCCGTACGATCACTGAAGTTAAGCAACGTCGAGCCTGGTCAGTACCTATAAAGGTGACCGCTTGGGAATACCAGGTGTTGTGTGGGTGTCAAGGTTCACCGTGGCTTAACTTCAATAATCGTACGAGAACCATTGTTTCAACTTGATATATCCGTACGGCTTCTTTTTCCAGATACAGTGTGTCCTATCAGACATTTCTGCTTTTCTATAAGTTATGGCTTTCTTATTTTTCTCGAGTCTTATTTTTCTCTCATATTCTTGCACTTGAACTGGAAGTTATAAATCTTTTGTTAATATGTTCTCCTGTTTAGCGGCTATTTCTAGTAAGTCACTTTCCAGGAGTGGTTTTGCTACTGGATTCGTTCAGCTGCGCCTATTACATAGGTGGGGGGTGTCCTAGAATTAACTATTTCAATGAAACCGAGACATTTTTTTAAAAACTGACACAATTTTACGTTTATTACTTAACTATGATATAAAACAAATAGATTTATCAATCTTACGTTAATACTTTATTGAAAATTTTCAGCATGTGCTCCGTCTGTTTCTCTGCAAATTTAAAATCTGTTCTTAGCGTTGCGAAACACATTTTGGAGCATTTTAGGAGTTATCTTTAAGCTCGCCTAAACTACTGATCTTTTGGCGATAAACATTCGTTTTTATGAAAGCACACGTAAAGAAATCAAGATGTGTGTGTGGGGTGGGGAACAAAGATGCATTCTTGTGCTTTCATTATTAATGCGGCTCTGAAAGAGAATAAAGATAAAATAAATGAAAAATTATAAGAATTATAAAGTTATAAACAAAGTTAGAAATATTACACTTGTAATGCACTTCTATTATTACACTTGTAATGCACTTCTATTATTACACTTGTAATATACTTCTATTATTACACTTGTAATGCACTTCTATTATTACACTTGTAATATACTTCTATTATTACACTTGTAATGCACTTGTATATTACACTTGTAATATACTTCTATTATTACACTTGTAATGCACTTCTATTATTACACTTGTAATATACTTCTATTATTACACTTGTAATATACTTCTATTATTACACTTGTAATATACTTCTATTATTACACATGTAATACACTTCTATTATTACACTTGTAATACACTTCTATTATTACACTTGTAATATACTTCTATTATTACACTTGTAATATACTTCTATTATTACACATGTAATACACTTGTAATACACTTCTATTATTACACTTGTAATATACTTCTATTATTACACTTGTAATGCACTTCTATTATTACACTTGTAATATACTTCTATTATTACACTTGTAATGCACTTGTATATTACACTTGTAATATACTTCTATTATTACACTTGTAATGCACTTCTATTATTACACTTGTAATATACTTCTATTATTACACTTGTAATATACTTCTATTATTACACTTGTAATATACTTCTATTATTACACATGTAATACACTTCTATTATTACACTTGTAATACACTTCTATTATTACACTTGTAATATACTTCTATTATTACACTTGTAATATACTTCTATTATTACACTTGTAATATACTTCTATTATTACACATGTAATACACTTGTAATACACTTCTATTATTACACTTGTAATATACTTCTATTATTACACTTGTAATGCACTTCTATTATTACACTTGTAATATACTTCTATTATTACACTTGTAATGCACTTGTATATTACACTTGTAATATACTTCTATTATTACACTTGTAATGCACTTCTATTATTACACTTGTAATACACTTCTAACAGATTAAACATGATGCACATAAATAATAGTGAGTTTTAAAAAAAACTGTCCGATTTCACTGAAATAGTTAACTCTGGGACATCCTGTATAGTATGGTTAATTTAGCTCCGTAGCTAAGGATTCTTCGGTTTGTCCTTAAGTCTAGACACAGGAAATCTCATAACTATATATATTTTTTTGCATCTATAGATTAAACATGGTTTTGTCGAAAGAAGAAAGAATTGACTTCTTCTTCTTGGTTATGCTAAAGGAAAAAGTGTAATCAATGAAAATTGATTGAACGAATAAAGAGTGAATGTACATAAGTTGACGGCAATGAGTAGTTATTAGTACGTGGGGTTCACGAGTAAATCATGCAAAGCGCACAAACCTTTGCATAAGAAATGAATGAAATAAAATTAAAGATATTGATTGTTAATATTCCAATTCAATAAAAAGTAGTAAAAGTTAAAGAATATAACACTCCCCCACCTAAAAAAAGTCCAGATATTTCTAAACTTTATCTAAAATCTGACCCAGATGTGCTATGAGCACGCCAGTAGATCCAGGATTTGCAAAAGCAGATAAAATGTCAACGTTTTTAAAGAATTTGGAAAAATGGTTCCAGGAAGTATCTAACTCCTTCTTCCATTATTTACACGCGGGATATTCTCATCATCTTTGTTGTTTTTATCACGAAGTTGTAGTGTTCATTAGGTTCTTGTCGATATGGATAACCAGGAAATAAAGAATTGAACCCTTTATTTAATCAACGGAGATAGATTGATCTCATTACAATGCCCATGTTCAGAGATATCTCGTCTAGTTCTTATTTTCTTCTCCCTTCTTAAAAGAGTCAAATTAAACCCAAATTGGAGTACTGCTGTCATATTTGGGTTGGAGCTATTCAATCGTTACTTTCTAGTCTTCAAAATCTTTTACGCGCTCTTGGGGAGGAAAGCTTGTTTTCCGCTCTACAACCTCTTTTCCACGGACGTAATGTTGCAAGGCTATCGTTATTTCTATAGCAGATGTTCGGATGAGTTCTGATCTTTAGTTCATCTAATTCAGAGCTTTACTGCAAGAATACGGCATGCTTCTTCCGCAGAATCGAATGATCTCTTCAAGTCAAGAGTCAGTAGTTACGTATTCTCATTATCTCCACTTCCTAACATTTTCTCTTCCATTCTTATCACACACCCCGTTCCTCATTATCAATTCGACAGTAGGCCTCTATCTAGAGTGGCTCTCGATCATTGTATCTGGTGAAATCTAGTAAAAATATTTGTATATTTCAACTATGTCTTAATAGCTGAACACCGCTGTGATTGTTTCATCTCTATCTATAAAAGGCAGGATGTGTGTGTGTGTGTGTGTGTGTGTGTGTGTAATGAATGCACGGCCGCAATTTTCGACGGATTTGTACCAAAGTTTACATGCACATGTTCTAAATTAGCAGAAAGGCCAAGACCGACTTTGCATTTCCCAACTCCCATCGATAGTGGAAATAATCGATTTTTCATGGTTCTACGGCAGTTTTCAAGTAGTTTGCGGCCATTTTTACTGGCCAGAGTGAGAGCCAATAGCTGGATGCTACGAATAGGCAGGAAGATTCTACTGGTCAGCGTGAGAGCCAACAGCTGACTGACACGAATGTTAAATAGCATGCAAAAAAAAATCGATAGCTGCATTCGTCACAAGTGGGAAAAATTTAAATCTGCATGGCACTTTACTCCAATTGGCTCATTCGCTTGCTTAAACTCAACGTTGATTCTGATTCCGCAGAACTGGCTTGGGTGTGAAAAAGTATTCTTTGTTAACATTCTTTTTTCATTCGGTTTTTCTAGTTACGAGTCTTTTTTTAAAGCTGATCGTTTTGTGTTCATTTTGTTTAGTTCTTTTTTTGTAACAGATTTAATGTTTAGTATAGAGCTTAGAAAAAATTCGCAGTGTGAGATAGGCAAGAATTAAGGCGTGTAGCAACATCAGCACGGCAAAGGGCACTCCTTTAAAGGCAAAGAAGGGCAAAAATATTTTAAGTCAAGTGATAGCAATTGCTGTATGAGTTGTACGATTTTTGAATCAAGCACGGGCAACGCCGGGCCATGCTGCTAGTTTTTATCTAAAATTAATGACGGGATATTTAATTCACATTAAGTGTTGTTAATATATTTTTTTTTGTGGGTTTTGAGACGGTAGGAGTAAAAAATGTTAAATTTGTTTCGCGTATCAACTTCTAATAAAATTTTAAACGTTTACTCCAAATGGTATAAAATATCGCAATTCCTTGTAATAACTCTTCAAAGCCATAGACATTCTAAATCAGGTAAGGTATTTATAACGTTCGAGTTGGTTGTAATCATTGACTCAAAGATAAATAAGTCTTGAAGCTGTTGAGTCAATTGACCTCTTGATGATTTCAGGCGAATATGCTTCATTCAACCAATCAATGTTTAGCAAAAGTTTGCTGAAAGGTCAATCAAGGATTTTGTGTCAATGAGAGACGAGAACACTTATTTTCAGCGATGTTTTTCTCATCAACTGCAAAGAATTTTTAAATATCTTTTTGTTAAGAAGAAAAGTTAATCACAGAGACACGTTCGCTTGAATGAATTCTATAATTATCGTGAAAATGAATCATAATCATTTGATTTATAAGAAAATAAAAATACATATGCAGAAGTTTCGTTGATTAATTATTCATAATACAAGGGTTACCTACCAGATACACACACACACACACACACACACACACACATATATATATATATATATATACATTGAAGTCAAAATTCAGACTCTATTGCATCTAGCCTGAAGCAGCCTGTCACAACTGAGTTTTGACTTCAATATTCACTTTTATATTTATATTTACATACGCTCTATCTCTGATATTGAAAACTTTATCCCATGAACATAGCATACCATAATATATATATATATATATATATATATATATATATATATATATATATATATATATATATATATATTCATACATGTTTCATTAAATAATATAGACAAGTGTTGTCTATTTATTTTATGTAAATTCTTTTTCATAAGCTTAATAACATTAACATTAAACGAAGAAAGAAAATCACAATATTGATCCATATTTTTTAATCCAATCTAAGCTTTCGGCTTACATAAGCCATTATCAAAGGTGACAATTATTGTACAATATATTAAGCAATATACGGACAAGAAAGTGATGATAGTCTGTTTCTGCTTACATGGATGATTTCCAAGCAACGATAAACACGTGCATATAAAACGCTGGAAGTGAAAATCGTACCGCAGCTCATGACGTTACACATG